TCACGTGCCTCCTATTCCACATTAAAATCGTAGACGGGATGAGTCAAGGAAGGGGCAGTGAATCTCCATGCTTTGATACGTGCGCTCGTTGCTTTCGTTTGATCGCCTTCCCTGCTCATCCCACCAGTGCTCTTCAAGCTTCTGGATATGTTGCTTGGCTCGTAAGCCTGACCTGCCCTCTGCTGTATAGATTTCGCCGAGTTCTCTGAAACTTGCATTTTGGATCCAGGCCTTTTTGGCTTGGTAATCCAGTGAATTATCGGTCACCACACCACCGACAGCTTGGCCTTCTTCTGACGAGGTGGCCATGCTGTCTTCTTCTGCTTCGCTCTCAGGCTCACGTGGTTCTAGGTAGCTCAGGGGATGTCGACCACTTCCCCTGAGTCCAACCATACCTGGGCTGTCCCTCCTGGTTGTAGTACTCCTTCGCCTTCCATAGGTACATCTTGATCTCCTTCTCCACGTGCCGTTTGCTCCATCCTTGTGTGTCGATCAAGCTCTTTCATGAGGTAGGCCCTGGCTTCTCCTTTCAATTTGGCATAGTCCAGGGTCTTGTTGCTCTTCTGGAGATAATCCCAATGTCGCCACTCACAGTCCTTGAACTCTGTCTCGTCCACATAGCCATTCACTTTCACAAGTCCTCGATGAATCTTCTGCATATACACCATGATGTTCTTAGTCTCATCACGAAGTTCATTTTCCACAGAACTGATCACCACGCCGTCCACCTTCTGGCTCTCTTGGATCTCGATCATCTCGTCCTTGAGGATTGCCGCTTCCTTCTTCGCTCTACGGAGTTCTCGTCGCGTAGCAATGACCAAACATCCCAAAGCCACCACCATCATCATCATCAACACGATGAATGACCAGATCACCCATAGCTTCCCGGTCGAAGTGGTCTCCAGGCTCATAGTGTTCTCGATTGAACATTGACCACTGCTTTCTGTCGATGTCATTCCTGCCACATGCTCAAGGCCCTCTAGCAGTAAGATCCTGTTCAAGAGCTTAGCCAACTTGTTCACCTTGGCTTTGCTCACCAACTCCATCTCACTTCTCACACGCTCTTCTTGGCCGACACGTTCATGACCAGCTCCATATACGTTGCACCAATTCAGAATCAAGCTGACTCTGGCCTTGCTCAACGGCTTCGCGCCCAAGTCTGCCACGTTCTTCACGGTGCCTACGGGCTTCACTGACAGAACTTCTTGTAGTACTGCATCTTGGATCCATAGAAGCTTGCCCGAGACATGTCTGAGTCGTCCTGGTCCTTTCCGGTGGCATAGATGCAGAGCAGCGGCATTATCAACCAAGCAACAGTGCTTCACCTCCCCGACCGTCAGGAATTCCAAGCATCTCCTGAGATAAATGCCATCAGCTGCACTGCTCACCAACAAATTCAACTCAGCTTCTGCTGAACTCAGGCTCACTGACTTCTGACTCCTAGATGAGGCTGCCACCACAACTCCATTGACCATATGTATGGCTGCTGACGTCGATCGTCTGTGTCCTTTTGCTCCAGACCAATCACTGTCTGAAAAGGTCTCCAAGAGCCACCTGGTCTCGTGCTCTTGGACTACCAATCCTTGTCCCGATTCATTCAGCTCCCGCATGTTATACTGCCCAATCGTATGCTTCAGGTAGCCGATGAGTTTTCCAAGCTTCTTCAAACTTGCGGAGGTGGGACATGACATAGTCGATGCCAGCTCCTTCACTGTGTAAGCCACGTCCAGGCGCTCCGGTGACAAATATATGCCACATCCCACCAATGAACGATACAGCCCAGCCAGTTCAGTGCCAAGGAGTGTCGTTCCGTCAGCCTCCAGGATTTCTTGTCCACATGGCAGCTTCTGGACTTTGACCTTTCCCAGCTTGTTCTCATAGATCTCCCGAGCTTCATCATCACCAGCCAATTCATCTTGAGTTCCTGGCAAGGTCAGCCTGACCTTTGGTCCTTCCAAGGTCACAAGCCTCTTTGAGGGCACAATCCTTCCACCAAAATTGGTCTGGAACTCCCAACCCTCGGAAGCATTGGAGATATCTCGACCAAGAGACCTCCACTCTGCGTATCGACCTGCTCAGGAACACCCGGGATCCGTCACCAATCACCCAAGCATCCTGCATCTCACTCCCAAACACACACTGACCTTCCATCTGGCATCGCCCTTGAAGCCCTGCTTTGGCTTGGTGTAGGCACCATATTGGCATAGCTTTCCTTGGTAAGGGCGTCCATGAAACAACTCGAAACTGAAACCAAAGCGACACCACAAATCCCACAACAAAGCCTAGAAGTCAACTGCTTCTCTTTTGGGACACACCTCCACCATCGGCCCCCTGGACCCATGCGAGAGACACAAGAAACGCAGAACTGCTTTTAACGTTTTCTCTGCGGCGTCGGCTTACTCTGCTGAGCAGCGAGCAATGCAACCCAAGCTCGAATGTCTTGTCCAGTCTGCGCAAACGCTTCGGGACCCTGCACCTCTTTTCACAACAGCTTTTGACCCATTGAGGGACAAAACAGTTTCAACATCCCTTGATTCAGGGGCAACAAAAATGTTGTCCACACGACATGAGCAGACACATTTCACCGCAACGCAAGAGACCACCCACACAGATGGCTCCTGCGACTTTGATGCGGTCTCAATGTGCCCTGAAACAAGCCGAAAACAAGGGGCTGGCATCTGTGGAATTCTGTCTTTTTCAGCCATTGTTGGAAATGTTTTTGTTGCTGCTTCTTGATTTTAAGCAGAGAGTGCAGAGCACTGCATCCAACGAGTGTCGCGGAAGTAGGGCCTGATCAGCTCTGTGGACCTGGTTGACTTTGACATTTGCCGAGATGTGGTCGCAAAGGGCCAGTCGCATTCCGCAGTCACGCACATGTCCGTTCGATTTGACTTGAGCTTTTGGCCTCTTCTTCCTTTTTGAGGACCTCAGGGCTCCTTATGGGGCTTTCCGGACTTTTCAGGATTTAGGAACCCAGGTTGGCGAGTGGAAACCACTTTCAAGACGCATTTTCAAAGGTCCCTGAAGATCTGGGAAGCTGGCCTGTGTGGCCAAACTCTTTCTGAGCAAGGCGAAAGATCTAAGTGCTGTGACGCACCTCCAAAGTTTCGTCGCCCAATAATTTTGCACGTACTGGATGTTTGAAGCTTCCCCTCAAAGAAGAGACAACTTTCACTGTTTGCTGACGCATCGCGTCATGATGGAGGCTTGTCGTTGCAAAAACGGCTTAATCTGGTCCAAGAAGCACACTATCATTCACAGTCCACCCCAGACTTTTGTAGCTCTTCCAAAAGTGTCCCATGTGTTCTACAAGAGTGTCCCGCAAGAGTCCACAAGAGTGTTGCAGATGGTCCACAAAAGTGTCCTGCTAAAGCGCCCGACAAGTTCCACAAGAGTGTCCTTCGAGCTGGTCCCAGAAGAGTCCTGCAAGGGTGAGTGTCTTGCAAGAGTCCCCTTCTGCTCTTTGGCAGACTGCTGCCAAACTGTCCCTCGCCAACGTTTGCCCACCCAGCCAACGACTTCCAATGAATCCTCTGTCATCTCTTCAAAGCCTCGAAGATCGTTCAAGAACACAGCCAGGAAACAATGATGACACTCGTTCCCAAGGCAAAACAACGATCGTGGCTGTGGTCGTTCACCCCGCCTTCCCGTGCCGCCTTCGATTGTGTTTTCTTTCTTCACTGGAGTCAAATGGTCTTTCCAACATCTTACGAGCGAGGATCGGCCCCACGGCCGCTTGATCGTCCGAGATGCAGCGAGATCATCCGAATGCAAACGAGCAAGTGGGGATCAGGTGTTTGAGCTACTTCCCGCACTTCATTTGCACAAAAACAAAGCTGATTTTTTTTTGTCCTTTTGTCTTTTTCGACGGTCGTGGGAATCAACCTCTCCAACTCCTTTCAGAAAGGACACTCCGGACTTTGCAGTCCTCCCAACAAGTCTCGGAAGTTTGTTTGCACATTCAGAATTTGAAGATGACCCCAAGAAATCCCTGGAATGATTCTCATCCGATATTGCCGACATAGGAGTCGGTCAGCAGCTCGGATTCCTCGATGTCGCGGGTGTTGACCCCACCTATCGATGTTGCAGCTCGCCGTTCGCTCTGAGGGCGCCTCAGAACATCACAGAGCTCTGTGGGACCTACAAGCCTTGTCAGAACATCAGGTGCAACTCTTAGGAACATCAGCGCAACGTCACATTGATTCTCTTTTCTTTAGGGATCCAGCTTGTTCGAGACAGGCAGATCCGGCTTTGTTTCACCAAGGGGAGGAATCCCTTGTCCTTCAACTCGCAGGACATGATGGCAACTCTGTCTGAGGATCGATGAGAGGGCATGCATTTCACACAGCCCGCTGGAGCCAGAAATGACGGGGGTCCATGGAGCTTTCGAGAGGCTCCTGGTGAACTCAGAAACAGATGGGTGAACCATTCTCAACAAGGCAGAGCAACACCCATCACAGGCCATCACACACAACTATATACTTGATCCATGGCAGAGACTCTGGCTGGGTGTGAACTGCAAGGGAGGAGTCGAAGGATTTTTGACCAGAATGGTTTCTTAAAGATCCAACAAAATCCTTCAGGGATGTTGTAGTAAGTTCCCGGAGGTTGGTGTGCTGCTAGGGTGGCGCATCATTCGAATTTGTGCTAATTCATACATGAAGGAGGTAACGAACCTTCCTTCAAGACCCTATGAAGGGCTATAGCCCTTGAAACAGGCCAGCTGCCATCAAAATGGATTTTGCGTTGCTTGAGAGAAGGTAGTTTCTTCACCGAGCAGCAAGTGCGTAGCGCGACTTTCTACCCGCTCTCGTGCTGCTGGTGAGCATGGTGGCCCACAGGTGTTTGAAGCTGGTCAGGGTCATGTGACACTTCAAGCAGGGGCTGCGCACTCATGTTGGTTGTTACCATATGTAACCACGAGCGATCTTTTATTTGATTGAGCCACAAGCTGCAACGACCGTAAGTTCAGCAATCGTGCTACATCACTTGTACTTTGTGCAATTGCAGTGCATTTTGCATCACATAGCCAACTACCTACCTGTACCTGTCATGGGTTGCTGTTGCTGTTGTGCCTCTGGCAAGGATCGAGTGCTGCCGGTGCCAGAACCAGATCAGAGCGAATATGAGCAGTTCCAAAAGCTTTTGAGCGAAGATGTGGGTCCTGGCGGTGCACATGGGTGGCAGATCAAGCAAGATTGGGCCAAAGACTACAAGCAGCACTTCAAGATGCGCATTTGCCTGCGAAACCACGAATCAGGGAACCCCAACAAGCTCTTACGAGCGGATGGAAAATACCAGGGTGTGAGCCCTGAGGATTTCTTGGGCTTTCTCCTCAACCCGGAGAACCTTCCGGGTCTAAAGGAGTGGATCGATGTGGAGACCTTGCCAGAGGGATACATCAAGTACTGCCGCGTGAAGGCGGACGTACTGTCGAATGCCGTTGGGGGTGGGTGGTCGTGGCCGTCGTGGGGGTCGATGCCAACGGCTGATGCCTTTTTGGCTGATTCCAACGGAACTGCATTGATTCGCGCTTTGAACAGCGCTTTGAAAAGCTTTGAACATGGTTGTCACAATTTTCGGAAGCTACCGAACTGGTGTTTCTTGCTGACCTTTCTGTGCATGTGCAATTGAAGGTAACAAAGGCATACATACAGGCAGGTTGATTCGGTCACGTGCCTTCTTGGGTCTTGTGCCTTCTGTTCTGGTCCCACATCGTCCGTCAAGGCAGCCACCATCCCTCATCCCTCCCAGGCACCCTGCATGACGGCGAGAGACCATTGCTGGAAGTACACCATCGACCGCCGTGAGGATGGGAGTATTTTCGTGTGCATCCGTACGACGGAGCACAGCGCTTGCCCCGAAAAGCCGGGGATCATCCGCGCATACTACTACAACAGCTCCTTGTTCAAGATGAGTGACACTGAGGAGGGAGTGATGGAAATGACGGAGTTTATCTTTCAGGATCTCAAAGGAGGCTTGCCACCATCGCTGCTGAATGCTGCTTTGCCAGCAGGGACGATGGAGACCAACAAGAAGGAGATGAAACTTCTCCTTTCAAAGAAACCAGCTGCCTGAGGTCACCCTTAATTGATGTCAGCAGCTGCTGTCTGATGTCAAACTCAGACCTGCAGGCTGCAAACCTGTGGCCGTTGTAGGACTGGGGCTTGCAACAGCAAGTATTTTTGCTAGTTGCTTGTGTGGACATGTGTACCTTTCGTGCATCTCACCCTGAGAATCGGAGCACTGAGGCGGAGACGCCCAAAAAGAGTGAAGAGAACAAGTTCAGTGAACAAAAGATTGGCAAGATCCTGTCTCCATTGTGTTCTTTCATCTTGTGGGAGACTATCAGAGTCTGACATTAAGGCTGCAAAGCTTCTTGACAAGCCAGCCAGTTCAACAAGAAGTGTTTTGGTGTTTCACGCAGCCCTTTGGTTCCGAACGGCCCGCGAAACGAACGGCTTTCTGTGGGTCGGAACCTGTTACAATGCCAGCAACCCAGATTGGTCTCGCACCGATTGAAGAGCCTGATAACACTGCATACTGCCTGGGCAATGACCGCATTTCAATGGAAAGGGGAGAGGTAGCAACGTTCTTGACAGAAAGGCTAGACTCCTAGACACGTGACATTCTAGGATCTCGTGTTTTATTTTTTCCAGGTTCTTCCTAAAGCTGAACCATGCCTAAACTAACGGTCTGAACACACCATCCACTCTCGAGACGACAGACCTGACTCGCAAGACGACGTCTCCCTGATGAGTCGACGTCGCCGTGAGACTGACCTCAACACCAAGAGTCAGAAGAGGGAGACCTCCCAGACTGAGAGACTGAAGACCAAGTCCCATAGACGACCCAGTCCCATGATGGGTCCACACATAGACCCTGGAGCTCTCATGTGGAAAAGCCACCTGGGCAAAGTAAAAAATGAGATTGGCTTTTTCCGCATGGGAGTTCACCCACCTGTCATAAACCCTCCCATGCGACTTTCCTGTCGTAAACCTGTAGAGTTCAAGCCTGTCGTAGACCTGAAGCTGCCGCATCCGTTGCTGAGGAAGCGCTGCATCTTCCTTTCCTTTGTTCTGGCAGAGGCTGCCCAGGCCTCGGCGCAGCGGCGAAGCGCTGCCTTCCTCCCAAAGTTTTTATTCCTTTTGGATGTACTTTTAAGCCACTTGCCAAGTGAATGGCCAGATGTTTTTAGGGCAGAAAGAATGTTGACTGAAAGTCAAGCCCCACCAAGTCACAGTCTGAGGTCCAGCAAAAACGTTCCTGCGCTATGTTTAAACTTCATGTCTTTGATGCTTGACTGTTTCGAGTTTTTCGGGCTGCGGCCTGCTAGCTGCCGGAAAGAACAAGGATCATTGGTGTCAGTTTTATGTGCTCTGCTTTTGTAGGCTTCGAAAGAACTACCTAGGTCAGCCCAATGCAGAAGGTCTTCACGATGCCAAGAGCTCAGCACGAGATTTGCAGCCAAACGGGGTTCTGCTGCTGACTAGCATTTGTCGAGCTCGGCAGTTCGGATGTCTTTGTCGCTCTTCGTTGGCAACATCTGCATTCCAAAAGTTGTTTGATACAACTCGGTTGTTCGAGGCTTGACGCGACTGTCGTGGTTGATAAAGTTTGAGGACGATTCCCAAAACTGCCAAGTGTTTCCACGATTGTTATCAGGTTGTCTGACCTTGAGACGAAGGTTGTAGAGGATGGAAAGGCTGCAGAGGAGGCACGTGAATCAATGATATCTTGGCCGAGACCAGTGACCTCATCCAGTGATACGAGAATCGAGCGTGAGGGGCGAGGGGCTCGGAGTTTGTGCCAGGCTTATGTCAACTACACCCGCTTCTGCACTCGTGGCAAGAGGGACCTCGGCTACGACATCAAGGATGGTGAAAAGACAGTTGAGGAGACCGCAATGATGATGGCTCTCTACCAAGACTTTTCTCGGAATGATTTGGATGAATTGGTTTGAGGTATTGGTAGATGAGCTGGCATATCCAAATTTGGATCTATTTGCTGCCGCATGTCCTTGATGATGCCTGAAAGCACCGGATTTCTTCGTTTCATCCTAGATTGAAGACTATCCTTCACCTAGAGACAATGGACACGTATGAGAAGGAAGTCAGTCACATACCAATCCATTTCAGACGCCACCTGGTTCATTGACTTCTTCTATTTAATTTGATTTATTCTTCCGGCATGCGGGGAGGGGCTTCTGGTCGACCAGACAAAATGCCCCTTGAGCCGTGAAGGAATTGACGGCGGCCATTGAGAAGTCCAGCTCCGACATCGAGGTCTCCACCTCGACTTTGCAGGACGAGCGGCCGTTTCCACGGCGACCGCCACGGCGCGACCGCCACGGGTGAAGCGAAGCGAAGGGCGGTGTCAAGACGAAGCGAAGGGCGCTGACCACCGGAACGACCCAATCGGTAGTGAATGGTTGCCGGTTTTGAGCTGGAATGAAGGGACAGGGTGGGGTGATCGAATCTTGCTGAATCTTGAGACAAGACTAACAGTCTTTCTCTGAGCTTTTGGTTGAGAAAGGATGTGGGGGCAGACGGATGACCTTTTCCGAGCTTTTTGGGTTGCCATTCATGCACAAAAAGCATATTGACAGTTGACCATAGTTGACCCATACCTCACAACAGGGGCAGCAGAAGTCGGGTTTGACCCATGGCCCATGGTGCTCATTTTCGCAGGAGCTGCAGAGCAGCATGACCAAAGCTGAAGCTGACCTGAAGGCACAGTGAGATTTGCTTCGTTTGCCACAATAGGTTTGTTTTGATTGCTTTTTGGCTGTACGAAGCTATGAACAGAAAAAGGAGCTGGTGGGGGAGATAAGTCAAACGGGCTTTTCTGATTTTGTGGAGATATCAGGCTGATTCTGCAGCCATTTGGACTGACAGCAAATGGCGAAGATTTTACTTCAACAATGCGAGACCTCAACTAGTGTATGATCGCTTTTGTGTTGCAGAGGTCTACCGTAAATCAGTGCCCAGGCTGTTCTGTTCAATCTCTGGGTCACGTCAACGATCAAAGTAGTTGTGGGTATCACCAGCACCATCGAAGAATCTGTATAAGGAATCTAGTGCTCAGCATTGCTTCTTGGAATTGAACGGTTGTTCTGGGAGTTGCATGGTTGAGACACCACGAAGAAGTCTTTCTGGTCACAGACACCGACAGACACATTGGCACTATGCCTCCCTTCGCCTCGCTCCGTTTCGCCTGCCAGGCAGCAGCTGATTTGCGAAGCAAAGAACAGGCGCCGGATTTCGAAGCCACAGGTTGAATGTTGAGGCCTTGTGGACTTCAAGTGCTCAGAGTGCTCCAAGACCAATCGGTCGAATTGATGTGATGGCATTGGTGTTTGGCATTGGCGATGACGTGAGGGAGAGGAGCAGAGCTTGTCTTTCCCTTATATAATAGGTTTTGAATAGGGAGACCGCCCAACTGATGGGTTTGGCCAGATCATGTGCCTCGTTTTCTTGTTTCCTGTGTCAAGGCCGAGCACAAAGCAGCTCGGAAGGAGTTGGAAGATGCTGGTGCCATGCTTGTGAGGGCCTCACATGGGATGAGCAAAACAGAAAAGTCAAGGTGAGGAAACCATGCAAGCTTTTCCAGTTTCTCGTGTTGCTTGGTCAAGGTGAAGCTTTGTCTTTTGGTCATTTTTCCTGGGAGGGGCGTCTTTTTTTTTTTCAGGATGCTTTTTTCCAGCTTTTGCTGCTTTTCTGCCCTTGTTGGTTTTCTGCTTCTGCTGCTTTTTTGCTTGTGTTGCTTGTCTGCTTTTGCTGCTTTTCTGCTTCTGCTGCTTCTTTGCTTTTGTTGCTTATCTGCTTTTTGTGTTTTGTCTTTCTGCTCTTTGCTTTTGTTGCTTCTTTGCTTTGGCAGCTGTTCTCCTTTCCCTTTTTGTTTTGACTTTTCCATTTGGTTGCTTTGCAGAGAAGAAACCAAACAAGGAAGGAAGGAAGGAAGCAAGCAAGCAAGCAAGCACGCACGCACGCAAGCAAGCAAGCAATGCTGGGGGGGCGCTGCGCCCCCCCCCAACCCCCCACGCGCCACGGAATCTGCACTTCATCTCCGACACCCGCGCCTGCCACGAAATCAATATTTTAAGGTGAACTCCCCGGTGCAAAAACTTCTAACCAACCAAGTATGCCTCCTGTGCTAGTTCTTTTTCTCTTTGCTGTTTCTCTGCTAACTGCATCAATCTGTTGTGATAGGTAGACATTTCTCTGACACCTACACTATTCCAATGTATTTTGCCAGCTACGACAGCTCCCAAATTGGTCGAGTCAGCTAGCAATTAATATGACACCTGCACTATTCTAATGTATTGGGCCAGCTACGACACCTATGTCTCTGCTAAGGACTCGAAATTGCCGTAATTAGCTAGGTACTAATAAGACACCCGCTCTATCCCAATGTTTTTGAAACAACTTCCGAAAAAAGACTGAAACATTTACCAAATTAAAAGCGCACCCTTTTTCCTGGGCTGGTCGCTTGTTCTTTTGTTTCTACTGATGCCACAACTCCGTCAGTTCATCGGTCAGTTCGCTACATCACATGTCACCTTTCCTTTCGCATGGATCCTCCTTCTTTTCTTTGGGTCATGATTGGGTCGTATTGCTCCAGCGTGGACGGGTCATCGTCATTTGGGAAGTTGCACGATCAACAAAAACAATGGTTTTCATACATGGGTGTGTATTGAACTAGGGAGACCTTCCAAAATAGACACATCCAACTGATTATCAAATGCTTTGTATGAAAAACAGTTCACTTGCCTATTCAGGGCCGCGCGATGAAGACGCTCTCAGAGAAGCTGGGTGGCTCCGCATTGCTGCAGGAGTGAGGGGTGAAGCGTATCATCGAGGTTGCAAGAGGATAGGTTTTGTCCATCTCAGTGGATGACCAACTGACTGGTCGTTCCAGCTGACTTGTTTCTGCTTCGGACGGAAAGCGAGCTGCGGCCCTTTTTGGAGATAGACCATGAAGGACACACGAACAGTTCTGTCATCATCTGTAGTCCAAGTTTCATTTTGATGGACTTTCCCACACCACTGGCCCAAGTTCCCCGATTGAGCCCCCGAGGGCGAACTAGCTACACCTGAGGGATCCAGATGTCTGGACAGATGTCTGGACAGATGTCTGGACAGAGGAGCTTCACTTTGTAGAAAGATACCAGACATACATATGTATGTATATAGAATATACTGTAAACCAATACAATATAATATAACATAAAAAGAGTAAAATAGTATAATATATATATATAGTATTATAGAGTATAATACAAAGACATATAAATAGTATGAAACAATACTACACCATAACATCATACAAAATAGATCAAAATTGTATTGTACAAAGGGGGGTACCATACACATATATATATATATTTATATTCACAGTTCTCACACGGCAGAACTGGATTCACTTGCACACAACTAGGAACTCTTTTGGATGAATGCCGTTGGGTGTTCCCACCTCCACCTCAGTGTGGAGAGCTGGCCCGTGCAAAGCTTGCGCACCAGGCCCCTTCTGAAGCGACCAGCCTGGTGCAGGCTCACATGGATAGACCGGACAGACCTTTTCTTACAGCTTTTGGTCTCCGGAAGACGTTTTGGAGACCTTGCACATCTACTGCATTTTCTTTTAAATGGCCTCAAGCCCTTGGAGACCTCCACTTCTCAGCCCTTTGGGGACTTTCCCTCACCAACGTTGGAATTCAAGGAGCCCACACCCCCAAAAAGTCATGCTGAAACTGTGGCTGGGGTCTATGCTGGCACTTCTTTTGTCCTTTTTCTTTCGATGCGCGGTGCTGGCACCCCCTTCGCGGCGGATGAGCGGCCTCCTCTCTGCGCGGCGTTCGCGTGCTCTGCAGGCGTTGGGTGCTGTGGTGGATGCGGCGGCGTTCCCGTGGCTCGGTGATCGATGACGTGGCTTTCGGTGAGCGATGATCAGCACAGCGCACGGGCTGACACAGCCGATCACTACGAAGAACACCGAAGATGAATTGGTCGGTTCATAGTGGTATGTGGCCAGCAATTGGCCGTATCGTTGGTGTTTGCAGGATGATGGAGATGCAAGAACATAGTTCTTGCATTTGCTGTTACCCCCCACCCAAGAGACCTTTTCACCCACTTTGAACCGTGGAGGTCCATCCACTGCCCATTGCTTGTCTCAGAATTTGCACAATTGCTTGTGGCTGTCATTTATTTCCTCCGTACCTTACCAACAATGACTGGCTCCAGTTTTGACGGAGAAACAACTTGCCAGCAGTCAAATTCAGGAACGAGGGAGGTATTGAGAGAGTGGAAGTTGTGAATAGGGCATCCCAACATGAAAGATACACTGTTCAACTGAGTGGAACTTCGGTCTAGCTGGTCGCCCTTGGGCCCTTGGGGAGGAGGAGAAGGACGACCACGTCGCCGACCACCGCCTTCCGCCTTCGTTCCTGCGGCCTTCCTGGCGCCCCGAGGAACGGTGACAAACAGTCGCTCCTGGCCTTTGTCGAGAGTCCGGGAACCTCGGCCCGAGAGGAGAGCTCGGCGCGCGTGAGCCACGAGAAGAGACACCGAGGAACGGACAGAAAAACCGAGAAAAGCGAGGAGACCAAGACATGGAATAGACAACTGGGTGGTGCGAGACATAGACATAGACATAGACTCCGGGTTCCAAGTGCAAGTCTGTTCGATGATTCTTTGGAAGCTTTCCAAACTGTATTAGTTATTTTTGTCCAATAGTTTTCTTCAATTTTAACATGCTTTCCACCCTGGCTTCAGCTGGGGCTTCACTTGAAGGTGCGACGAGGCAACCTCCTGCAGTGGAAGCCTACAAGTGCCTTTGGTTTTCACCTCCGCGTGGGGGGCTAGTGATATCAAGCAGCAGAAACCAACAACAAATTGTATTTGCCCCCAGCTTCTTCAAGGCGACCTCTTTGGATTGCCATCCAGTGACCTGAAAAAGGGCCTGTTCGTGACCTCAAACTGGGATATCAAGTTCGGTCACTTGGAAGAACCAGGCCCAACGGTGTTGTATGATAGCAAAGTGTTTGCGAGGAAAGACACCACTCTCAGTTGAAGAGTGAACTGCACCACCCCACACCATCTTGGTGGCGCAGTCGTATGAACACGATTCGCGCGTTATTCGTTTGGAAAGCAGTAACTTGTTACACAAGAAAGACATTGGCGGTGTTCGTTGCTTAGGACTGATAAGAAACCAACCATTAAGGGGCCTGGTCTACTCACTGGTAAGAAGCCTGGAGTTGTCACCTTGGTTCTTCTTGCCAGGGTCTTCGGATAAGGAGGATGAAAAGCAGCGAGCTCAACCCCGCAATGACCAAGGTCCAAGAGTGGTGGCATTCTGTCTGTGCTGGAGGAGACTTGAGTCATCACCGTTCTGCCGCGACGCAGATGGGGAACCGTTTCAATCCGATATATGTCTGCATATTCTTTTGCACTTCACTCAGCCTTTGGTCAAGCCAGAAGCACCAGTAGCCTTATATATATATATCACAATATATACACATCAAAATGAAAGCATTCCGGATTCCGGCCCAACAAGCTGATTTTCATAATAAACACATGCACAAAACCACGACCCACCAAGCGAAATCGCTGGCTTGAAAAGTGCAGTGCGCTTCGTTGAACTGATGTTTTCAGATGATTTCGAGTCAGGTGATTGAAATTGCAAGAGCCAACTGAGGGAAACACTCACAGCTGCACTCTCAACCAGTTCGGCAACACACTGGGTCAGCACACTTTCTCATCGACCCAAGACGGCACCCGTTCGCTTCTTCAGGTGTCCGACCCGCGTGGAATCCGTTTGGGCGCCGCTTTTTCCGCGTTCCGACGCGAGGATCCGTTCGGTGGCCGTGCCGCGTGGTGTTGTGAAGGACATGAAGTCGAAAGCACGGGAAGACCTTAGCAGCCTGGTCTCTGAGGCACGGTTCGCTACCTGACGAGCCAGGTCAGATGAGCAACCTCCCTACTTGCTATTCGAGAATTCGAGTCATCTCCCTTTGGTCGGGCGTGAGCATGCAGCAAACAGGTTGAAAGACTTTCGGAAATCTTCATAGACAGACTCCTAGCAAGATCATGAGTTGCCCATAGTTGCCCAATGAATAGTTTTTGGCAGAGGCAGAGAAAAAGTACATGAAGGTTTTGCTATCCCTGGCTTATGAGGTGTGTTGAAATGGACTTTTGGGCAGAAAGACCCGCGGAATATTGTGGACATAGCTTGGTGTTCAAAGAAGAGTACTCTGGAGCTTTCGAGAGATCTTCCATTCTTGGGGTTGAAACTAAGCTACAGCGGCGCCGAGCTGACCGGGCCTGTCAGGTTCGACACGGGGTCGCTCGGGGTGGAGTCGGGGTCGCTCGTCGCGGTGGGGAGTTGGTCGCGCTGGGCCAGGAGAGGAAGGCTCAGCATAGCTATTTGATGCCTGGAGCCCAAGTAGACGCTGGTGGCACGTGGTGGGGTGAAGATGACCACCATTCGTAGCCTTGTTCTTTCTTCAATGTACAACTCATAGAAGTTGGAGGAACAGGGGGCCGCCCCCACCTCTGAAGGGAAAGACTTTGAGACGTTTCTGATTTTCCCATGCAGAGAGCTGAGGCTGAAGCAGTCCCTGGAGAGGCAGCTGGCAGCTGACCAGAAAGAAATGGACCAAGCGAAGGCGCTGCGCGCCGTGCTTTCTCGAATTCAACTGAAGGATCAAGCCGCTGCTATCCTTTGCTCCTCAGTGGTATGTAAGTGTACGTAGAGATTGCTGCTTAGTGGTATGTCATTTCTAGAACTGAAGGATCATAACATTTGCTCCTCAGTGGTATCTTGGGGCGATATTCTGTGCGACAAGCGCATCAAGACCTTTGGCGACGGGCACATCTGGGACATCCAGTCGCACAAGTCGAGGATCTTTTTTCCGGCAGGACCCTCGCTCACCTTCCTTGGAAAAATGCCGCACCATTCCAATCCACTGGTTCGGGTCGCCCTGGTCGCCCTGGTCGCCCTGGTCGGCCGCGCACGCGGTGACCGCGCTGCTCCAGGCGGTGCAGGCCGAGGCGTCGGAAGCGAAAGCCACCGCGGAGGGCGATCTGGCGGGCTCGACCAAGGTGCGAGGGGGGGGGGGTGGCTGGATGTGGCTGGTGGCTGGATGTGGCTGGTGGTAAATTGGGTACAGAGATTGGGTACAACTTCTTCTTGGGCACAGAGATTTGGAGAGATTGGGGTAGTGGGCGAAGGGCAGGCGATGTCAAAGTTCGTTTAGTTGACAGTTGACAGCCAATGCTTTGTCCTAAGTCACCTTGTGCACTCTGCGCAGGAATCGCACGTGCTGTTAGGAACCTGGAAGCTGGTGACATCAGCAGCAGTGCTGTTGAAGTCACAAGATTTCAACTTTTGCCGGACATTCCTTGTCCAGAAAAAGTCGTGGTGCAGCCAAATGCCTTGCCCTTCGGACTCACCACACGCCCATGATTGTGGTTCCAAAAAAAACCCTGGACGAAGAGCTCAAGGTGAGTTCTTTCTTTTTTCACCAAGCATGACAAAAAACAAGACATACGACTTGGGGTTCTTGCGGTAGTAGTCTTGCGTCTAGTCTCTCCTCCGGTACCCCCCAATGGGGAAGGACTGTGAGGTGCGTTTGGATTGGAGCGCAAGTTGTGTGTGGTCTCTTGCAGGGATGATTTCTTTTGGCCAGCATCGCCAACGGATCGAGGGCGGAGGGATGCCATCGATGCGCGTTTGGGAGGACTTGGCCAACGACAAGACCTCCCTGCAGCAATTGGAGGCCCCTTTCGCGTCTTGGGGACGGTCGGCACCCTTTGGACCTCGATTTCGGCCGCTTGATACAGGTCAAGCCCCATCCAGACGTGTATTGGGAACCATTCCCGTCAGAAGAGACATGAGGTGTAAGATCTCCTGCCACTCTACCAGGAGTATTTTTTTGGGATTTGGCTCTTGGCTGCATGCTGAAAGAGCCATTTCACGAGGATTTTCGGCAAAGCCAACGGAAGCCTAAGGTAGCCATATGTTTGCTGACATTCTTGACTGGCAACCTTCGCACGAACATTCTTGAAAAGATGGCAAGCCTACCACTTCGTGATGCATTCAATGGTTGGCGCAGCCGCACAAAAATGATATTCTCATGCGAGCTCCAACTGCAAGCGGTTGCAAGGCCAGCTGCTCTCAGGCTGATGAGGACTACGAGGCGATGGATAGAGCAAACTGGCTAGTGCAGCGCAAACTTGAGACGTGCCGTTTGAGGTTCTAAGCGTCAAACGAAGTGGCTGAAGGGGACGATATGAACAGCTTTTTGGGGGTGCAAGACAATACTAGCTGCTAGGGGTGTTTTGCAGGTGGGTTTTGGATGTCTGTGGGGGCTTTGAGGAAGCATCAAAATCTGTTCTGCTTCCCGTGGATGTGGCATCCGTAGTGATTGCATCGCCGCAATGATTTGTTTGATCCGTTTGCAAAGTGGAGAAGCTGAAGAGGGGGATCAGATTCGGTCAGATGCCATGGGTGAAATATTCAACTCATTTGACTGAAGGAAGCCACCAAGAGCAGACAAGAAGAGCTGGAGGCAAGCGCCTGTTTTTCACATGCAGCAAAGGGGGGGGGCTTGGGTGACTTGGGCTTCGATTGAACGTCAAGCACGTCGGCGCAGTGCCGGAATCAGTTCGCCCCAGCCCGTCCGAGATCCGTCGTGTTGGATCCTCGCATGCGCCAAGTCTCTTGTCGCTTGGATCGTTTTCTTCCTTTAGACCTAGCGGCTGGAGCGGCCGCTGGCAGACCTGCTTTACATTTTGCCAAAAACCTGGTAGGCCTTGAAGAAGGCGGAAGAAGTCCTCAAGGAGAAGACCGGCGGGGCACAGGCCGCGGACCCCTTTGGAAAAGTGGGTCATTCTGGAACCATACCTGCATGATCCTGCATGGCGGCTTTGCAACTTACTTTTGCATTGGCCCACGTGCTTTGAGTAGGTTGAAGAGTGTCAAGCGTCAAAGACTGTTGCCCTTTCCTTCGTTCGGCTTGTGGAAAGGCCAATGTCTACGAGCCTGCGATGTTCTTGCAGGCCGGCAGGAGTCAGCGGTCGATCGGTGAAAGAAGATGGCATCGAACATGGATGAAGATGGGACAACATCCAAACCGCTATGGCAAGAGCAGGTTGCAAGTACTGGAAATTATACCTATGGGATCCTATGGGCCTAAAGCCTGCACCTTCACTCCCCCCAAAGCCTGCGCTTTCGGACGCCGGACCCCTCGCCCGGCCCATCCTGGGCGGACCAGGTGGATTCGGAACGTCCGGAGCGCTCAGATGGGCGAAGCGGGGGGGAGCTGAATGGGGATCAGGATGGTGTGAAGGCGGATCTGCCAGGGTTTCAGTGGAAGCAGACCTGCTTGTGAAGGCGGATCATGAGTTTCTGGAGCATTCAGAGAAACTGGAGCCCAGTTAGCTGGAGACTCTGGAACTCTGAACGAAAACGCCAAGACTTCGCCACTGACCTCGTCCCACCCAGACCCTGGAGCCTTTGAAGCAGCGAAGCTGGTGAGGAACTTGGCCAAGAAGGCGCCCCCGGCCGCAGCGAAGGTGACGTTTTTTGTTTGGTGCGGTGCCAACTGTAGGGTCTGTAAGAGGCATAGGTGGTGTAGAGGTCAGTTTCCTGACTCTTTTCCTTCTGCCCATGGAACGGGAATATTTTCACACACACACACACACACACACACCTGGGAAGATTTTGCCCTCAGATCAAGATCATGAAATTCTTGGAGGGATTCTTGGGGTAGCTCTCAAGGTGGTTGACCACCACAAGGGTCTAATCAATGGGTTTGTTTTGGTGGTCTCACATTCTGTTGAATTTGCGCGGATTACACTTCCGGAAACTAACATGGACCCTCAGGATGGCACCCTCAAAAACTATTTTCCTCTACAACCCAGTGGTTTTCAGGGTCCATGGAGTCATATGAGTTTGGGAACGGTCTCCCATTCGGTTGACTTCAGTGAGCCAACCTTCCAACCACCGAAAGTGGACGTCGCGAGAGTGGTCGTCCCCGCTGCGCTCCTCCCGGCGCGAAGCGCGTCGCCAGACGTCCTCCCGGAGCCTCGACACATTGGCCACCAACATCGAATCGCTGATGCAGACGGGCAGCGAGGGAACTCAAGGGACGGACGGGAGGAAGTCGGAGTGATCTTGCAGTGAGGGTGGGTGGTGGGCAAAAGAAGATGGGCCAATGGTGGTCAATGGGCGGGTGGGGTGCGTTGGTGGGCTGGAAGGTGTTTCTAGTGGACGTTCGCCACAGATGTGAGGCTGCTTGGCCAAAGAAATGCTGAAAGGAAACGGGAGAGATACTAATCAACAACACTATAATCATTTATATAGTATTGTGTCTTTGGTGCATGTGCTTTCATACCTCAATCATTTGCTGAACCAGCTCAGCATATTCCTTTTTCAGTGTCTCTTTTTTTCACTCCGTTGGAAGACATTTATTTGTTCTTAAAGGGGTGAAGAGTTTTATGTGTTGATGTAGGTGGATCCTGCCTGTCGCACCTCAGTGTTTCACAAGCAGGTGCAGCTGAGGAATGATCACAACTCCATCATGGACCTGGTCATGTGCACAGACCGCTCAAAACGGTCTTGGATCTACCCCAAACTAGATCAAGATCCAATCTACATAATATATAATCCACACCAACTAGATGGGGATGTGTAGACGAACCTAGATCCTAGTCAAGATGTCAGACACCCATGCTTCGGACCACCATGGACAAGCATAGTCTCCACAGAGCCACAGCATGGCGAAGCCTCGGGTTTCTGTACAGAAGATCCCCTCCCATCTTCGGCCAGGCCAAGCCGATGTCTTCGCCAAGGTGGAAGAACCGCGGGGAAGAACGGTCTAAAATTCTCGAGCGTAAGGTATCTTTCTCATGTCAAAACGTCGTTTTCCTCAGGGAATCCATAAGAAAGAACAAGGGGCATTCTTGGGCAGCCACATGCCATGTTTCGCTTGGGCACAAACCTGAACCGTTCAGAGGCCTCATGGTCAGAATGGGCTCTCTCCCACACACCACTGACCCATTACACACATAGACAAACCACTCAAATTCACAATCCACTTGCTGTAATATGACCATTTGTTTCTCCAGTCTCCTCTTCCGACACGAGGGCGTGCCGATGTCGGCATGCCGATGTCGGTCCGGTCCTCTTTTCAAGACTTCGTCTCACGTGCCGACCGACATCGGTGTGCAGCTCTCCGACCGATGCAGCTCGGACGCTGCGACCCAAATGGGGTCAAAGAGGTGAAAGCCTTGATCGACCAGATGATCACCACACGGAAGGAAGAGGCACCGAGGGAAGCGGCGGTGGGGGGAGGCCGGTGGGACTTGGGTCGGTGGGACGAAGCCGAAAGCTCAGTGGAGGCGTTGGAAGACGTATTCCTTTGAGTGGAACTCCCCCGCGGTTTGAATCCATCAGAGTTCTTGGACTGTGGAGTTTGAGAGTTCCTTCTCCAAACCTTTTAAACACGCATTGAAGAATGTGCTTCTATCATCTTGGAGGACCTTTCTCAAACTATGACAGGGGCGAATCCGGGCACAATTATAGACCAAACAGGCAGAGAAGAACCACTGACCTCTCTACTTTGGCATGGTCACAAAGTGTTTGTCCAATGTTACCATGGGTCAGAGTGATGCCATCCAAGTCGCGTTTGTCGGACGGGGAGAGAAGGGGGACCAGGACTTACCATTCTTCCCACGCACAGTTGGATGATTTCAAGCCAACTACTTGCAATTCTTTGCTGCAAACAAACAGACAACAAACACGTACATCATGGGCTTCACAAATGTCGGCAGAGGCCACAAGGCCAGCGACCACACACGTGCATGTTGGGTCAGTGGCAGTGCCAGTGGCGAACTGAAGCTGCCGGGTTGCAAGCAGTTCCAAGCGGTTGCAAGCTTTTGAATCTTTTGATCAAGTTGATCCTAACTTTTGTTTGTTCTCGAGTTTGCCAGGCCGCTGCCGATGAGACGAAAAAGGCCTACTGCGACAAGGAGCAGAGCGAGACCAAGGCACAGCCGCAAAAAATTCCCTGTGCTCGTGGTGTACCAGGATTTTGGTTGTTCAACACATGCAGCAAATATGAAGATGTGACATGTGGACTGTTTCACCTAGGGAGGTTACTGGATGTCAAAATAGGGGCGGTCTCCCCCCCAAACTCAGTAGATGAACTCCTGGGCCACGGAATCCGGGCACGGCAAGGCCAAGTTAGAGGACTTGAGCAGCAAGAAGGAGACCTTGTCAGTGAAGGTGGGAGACCGGACGACCACGGACGGGAAGTTGGGAGACAAGCTTCCTGGGAGGAAGGGCGGTAGCTGGGACCGGGGGTAGCTGGGACCCGAAAACAATGGGTGTGTATTGAAATAGGGAGACCTCCCCGTTCGGAAGAAGGAACATCGACCAAAGCCCAGTTGAGCCAGGGGGTCATCCCACAAAAAACACACTCAACTGCAGAAGCAGGTGAGGAGTTCTGTTGCTTCGTGCCCTAGCAGCTGAGACCTGTCATGAACTGTGCGCAGACAGGCGATGCATGTATATAGGGGGGTTTGTAGCGACCCTTTCAGGGCTTTTCAAGGGTTCCACCAGCTGAATACATCCTGTATGTTATTGAATCCTGGATGGTTCTTGCTAGTGACTATATAGTGGTTGGTTCTAAAGGGAAAACACGACCGAGCCACCTGGTGAACAAGGTGGACAAGAAGTCGACGGAGTCTGAGACCTTGAAAAGCTCCTTGAGAAAAAGAGATGGGAAGAAAGAGTGATGACTTTTCAGGCGGAAAACGGACGCAGAGCCGCAGAGTTCAGATCTTTGGAAGATTCTTTTTTGAACTTGGCTTTTCGGTGTGTTGCTTGGGGAGCTGAATCCATGGGGCGGATCGATCGAGCGATCCGAGAGAAGGGTGGCGTTGGAAACTGCGGCGCTTTTCCATTCGGATCTCAGGAAGGATGTGTGTAAAGTGTAAGTTTCATCATAGCAAAGGGAAGATTAACCACTTTCAAGCATGTAGAGACCAACCTGAACACTCCAAAACAGCGTGGATGACTGTCAATGGCGCACGCTGTGACCCACCGAGGACGCCGAGCGACCGAGGTCGGTTCTCCATTGGGATCATTATCATGTGATGTTCTACGGAGAGACCTTTGGTGCATCTGGACCCTGGTAGAGAGGTTTCTAGGTGTCAGGGTGCCTGCATCTTGTCCCACGAGGGTTTCTTTCAATGTTGCAGATCTATTGTTTTGCATGCTTCCCGTATGAGCTTGGGGAAACCACGACATCCACTAGAAGAAAGGCGAAGAAACACATTCCAACCTGCTCAAACGCTTGGGTGTGCTGGAGTTTTTTTTCCATCTTCTTTTCTGGTTCCGGAACCTCAACAGCACCACGTTTCGGAACTTGGACGATCCCTTCAGAGTCAAGCTCGCTTTTCAATCATCCCGGATTTACCACCGGTCTCTCCTTCTGAAAGAGGAGAATTGCTCCTCCATGCCTTCCTGGTCCGAATTTTCTTCCCCCCCCACCTTTGCTCCCTGCCAAAGCAGAGAGACCCCCCTCCCAAAGCACCTGGATCCTCCGATCCTCGAAGCCGAAGCCACCGTCCGATCCTTCCCCCGAAGCCGCCTGGTGCTTCGGACCGAGGCGAGGCGGCGACCCTACAGAGGGAGCTGGCCGAGCTGTCTCAGCTCCAGGTGTGGGGGACTTGTCTGAAAATGAATGTGCACCCAACTCAAAACAAACGTGCAAAAGGCTGCGAACGCCTTTTCCGTCATGGCTTGAGCCAAGGGCGTCGTGTCGTGCCCTTGCGAACCGGAACCTGCAGGTTGGAATGAGAGGCCAACTGCATGCTAACTGGAATGACCTGGTTCATCATGATTCATTTCACACCCGTAAGTTTTCTTGGCCTTCAATCCAACCGTTGGGTTTAGGTCCACAGCTTCCGCCGACATGAGCTGTCGCAAACCGGCATGTTTCATGCCCTTGGTGAGAGGATCCGCCAGCATCTTGTCAGTGCTGGTCCAAGTCAGGCGAGTGCTGCCATTGACCGGCAGGCGATCAGTCGCCAAAGGATCTCCCACTGCCTCTCCAGGAACCCGCCACAGCATCTGGCGAAGACCACAAAGGTCGATAGCTAAGCGCTTGTCCGACACAATGTGGAGCCCAGCTTGGTTGCCGTGGTCGTGAAGTGACCGACAGTCCGTCAGCCATTCCACCAAAGTTCCATCCATGGCCTGAACTTGCCAATGTGGTTCTCCACAATGAGGATGGCGTACTCCATGTAGTACGAACCTGAGGTGCTCTGCCTCTTCGCTTCCAGCCAGTAGGCTGAGTGCCTCTGACTGCAAGGTGCTCCTGCACACACGCTTCAAGACCGTGCTGTGCCACTCGATCAAGGCCAAGTAGCCGATCTTGTTCTCGAAGAAGCTCCTGTCAGCCAAACACAGCAGACGTCCACTCTGGCTTCGATGAGCCATGCGGGCACCAGAAGAGCTGGCTTCATAGTCAGCGGCATGGCTTGCATCCTGAATTGCAAGGATCATGGCATTCTCAAACTTGAAGGCGCCGACAGGGTAAGCCAGTCCAACTTCTTTTGTCTTCTGGGCCAAGGCCACAATCGAATTGGCGTACTTGACGTCCTCATAGGTGGCTGAACTGACACTCATTTGCATCTTGCACACTGCATATGCCAAGTCAGGGCGGCATACGCGAGATAGCCAAGCAAGACTTCCGATGATGCTGCGAAGCTGCCCACGTACTCCTTCAGTCACTGGCTGTTCTCCTTGGCGCTTCTGCTCATGGGTCAGCCAGATCGGGCGAACGCGGTCGATCAAATTGTCACACTTGACATAGATCTTGTCAGCATCTCGGGTGATGTTCCTGCCACAGTAGCGGAACGAATCACACTCAATCTTGCCAAACTTGTAGTGGTCGCAGATCTCCTTCATGCGCTCCTCAATCAACTGACCACCACTCCACAAAAGGTCATCCACGTGGGTGATGACAAGACCAGCCAAAACGCCCTCCTCCTCCAAGAGCGTGTAAGCTCCAGGCTCAAAAGGCACAGGGTGAAAGCCTTTCTTCCTCAAAGTGCCGTCGAGGTTCTTCCACCATCCTCTTGGAGCATCGCGGGTGCCATAAACAGTGGAGGAGACGATGTAGTACATGTTGGGATCAACACCTGGTACTCCATCTTTTGGCAGGCTCAAAATGAGGGTCCTGTCCAACTTGCTGCCTTGAAGAAATGCAGCTGAGATGTCACCTGACCAAAGCTTGGTGTTGCGGCATGCTGCCAAGGTCAAAACCAGTGAAATCATCGTCTGACTGCAGGTCGGGGAATCACATCTCATCAGCGAGCTGTCCTCCAGGTCGCCACGTACCACAAGTCGTGACTTCAACTTCTCTGGCTCGCCAATCTCACTTTTGTCAACATCCACCCACCTCGTAGGGATGATCTTGAGGTTGGGATTGTTGGCCATCATCTGCACAACTTCATCTTCTGCCACCAAACGTCCATCACTGTAGAACTTCCAGTTGTGCCATTCCTTCTCTCTGGTGGCGATCAACTTCTTCTGCATCTCGGGCTCCTCTTTGGAGAAATTCAGCTCACGGCCAGCTCCGACCTTCTTTTGAGTCTTCTTCTTGTACTTGCACTCCGTCTTGGTAGCGATGAAACTGTCGGAGGCTGATGGCTCGCGTCGACGAAAAATTCCATCCAGTCTGTCAGGACTCTGGCGAAGTGACTGGGTGAGAGGAGTCACTTGCTCATTGATGATGTTCTGGTCGTTTTGTCCTGCTGGATGTGCGGAGACACTTGGTGCCGGAGGAGTCTCCCATTCCGGTTGGCTGCTCATTGTTGAATCCCTAGTCATTGATTCAACTGGTGTCACTACACCTTCTTCTGAGACGTTGACGTCTTCTAGCCCAGGTGGAGGTGCTAGAACTTCACGGAGAGGTTGTTCATGAGGTTGAGGCAACGATGTGGATGTCGGTGCGATAGTTTCCTCAGCACCCATCTCGACATCTCCAGGGGTAGCAGCCACTCCTGTCTCGCCATTTGCTTCTCTCGCTTCTTGAAAGTCCACAAAAGGGACTTGCTCTTGAGGTCCGCTTCCTCCTCCACCGAAGTTCATGTCCTCGATGTAGTCATCTGCAAAGGGGAGGTCGTCCTCATCTTCCCAATCATTGAGAATCTGTCGCTTCCTCTTCCGCTCCGGTCGTAGCTCCAGAGCTTGCTTCTTCAGCACTTCATCAGTGGTGGCCGGTCGCGGTCGGCAAGAAGTTTCTGCCACAAGGACTGCAACTCCAGAATGTAGGAGCCACAAAGAAGACTTCCCTTCATTTGCCAGAACTCGGGCCGGACCATACCACTTGCCTTTCTTGCTGAAGCTCACGAGGTCCCCACATGTCCACGGAGTGGAGTGCTCTTCCGCAACATGGCTTTTCGGACCTTGTTGCAAGTGTCCATCTTGATGAAAGCTTCTTTTGCCCACTGTCGAACCAGCAGCTGCCTTGTGAAGGTGTCTTGAGCTCCTTCTTCTGCATCTACAAGGCTTTGATGTAGTCCCAAATGTCCTTCAGGATCTTGATTTGCCATCGAGGTGATGTCCAAGGGCTGAAAACCCATCACCCATTGCGAAGGCGAATAGCCATGCTGGTTCATGAAGAGGTTCTTGACTCTTGCCGATTCAGAGCACAAGGCAGAAATGTCTTCCGCTCCATGAAGTTGCCGTTCATGGATCGCTCTCTTCATGATTCCTTTGAGAAGTCCACCATGTCGTTCTCCAACTCCAAGTTGGTGAGGTGCTCGTGCTCCTGTCTGTCGAATCACCGTTCCAAGCAGGGTCAAGAGATGAGCGACCTTGCCTCGGTTGTGAACTCCTTGATCGGCAACAAAGAAAGTTGGTGCACCTGCCCAAGACAACCATGAGTGGTTCAAAGCGTCAGCGCACACTTTGGAACTGGGTGTTCCACCTCCTCCAACTCTCACTGCCACATGGAAGTGTGTAGCCAGATCCACCAACGAAAGCACTGAGTGACGGTGGTGAAGGCAATCATGAATCTCAAACACATCCGCTGACAGCTCATAGTTGAAGTGGATTTGCGAAGACGGCCTGAGCTCCTTTGTCGCACGCGGTTGTTCATCCTTTTGAAGCTCTTTGCACACCTGGCACTGAAAGAACTTGACAGCGTCCACGACGTCTTTGTCTGCTGCTGAAGCAATGAGCATCCTCCTCAAAGCCATAGTTGAGCAGTGGCCAGTCATAGTGTGCAACCGCCTGATAGCCAAGCGCTTCTCTTTGGGCAAAGTCAACCATCCTCTTCGCCTTTTGTCTTCTTGTGCCATCACCAGCTGATCTGTTCTGTTCTCACGCACTGATTGCTCCAAGATCAGCTCCTCTCTTTCGATCTCTTGAGGATCCACTCTTCTTTTCTTGGTCTGAGGGGCGAGGTCCTGCTCAGAGTGAACAGCATCCAATTCACCCATCTCTTCGTGAGTCTCGAAGATCTCCTCAACGGGGAAGGCCTGATGCAAAGTGCCATACATCAACTCTTCATACGCTCCCAGGACGATGGCATGACATAGCTCCTGCGGCCATTGTTCAGCGACTCGAGTACGGCTGCGACCTTCCAGCTGTTGGTGATCGTGAGAGTGATCACAGCGTCGGCAAAGATGCTGTTTCATGTAGTGCGAAGATAGCAGCAGGCCAGTACTCTTCTGATGAAGAAGACCATTCTGAGGATCTTTGAGCCCATACTGACATTGGTCTATCTTCATGACTTCAACCGGCTCATTGGTCTCCTCGTGATAGGGCCGTGCGTGAAGAAAATCTTCCATGCACTTGATCGTCCAGGCGGCACTCGTCCATGGATGCTCCATCATGATATGTCTCCCTTTTCGCAAGCGGGACTTGAAGACATCGATGAGCCATTTGAAGACAGGATACCATCTCCGCCTCTCTCCATAGATGCGCTCCTCCATTTCAAAGCTTCTGCTGGCATTGATGTGCTGCCATGCCGACCAAGGACCACACTTAGGACCTGCAATCAAGACAAAGGGGTCCATGTCATCAATGTACTTGCCAATCATCTCCCGGTTGGCAGGTTTGAGCAGATCATGCAGTGGATCCAGGTTCACGTCAATGGGTTTGCCAACTGGTAGGCCCCATGAAGCGGCCAAAGCAGTCACCATAGCTGCGCCAGCAAACAACTCCATGAGAAAGCATTTGCATCCAAAGGGGAGGAGTCTTCCTGGCTTCCGAAGTCCTTGTTCATGTCGAAGTGTGCCCCACAATGCCAGATCTTCACGATGGACATTCTGCATGGACTCCTGCATCACTTTCCGCTGTCCGCGGGTCATCACCTTCCTCGGCGATTCTGCCAAGTTGACATAGTTCAGAGTGTCTTCCTCCTCAATCTTGTGCTTGTCATACACAGTCCCAAAGGCCTCCCCAGTGCCAGAGCTCGTGCTGTTAGGCGAGCTTGTCACATTGGATGAAGAGGTCTCAAAGGAGGAAGTGCTCGTCGGTGAGTGCGCAGTGGTCTCATTTGAGCTCATAGTGCTTGATGACTCAGACATCGGCAGTTCCAGGGTGTGCTCTGCTCTGAGGGCCATGTCAGTCTCCACGTCATTCGTGGGAATCAAGCGAACGGCTGGAAGTCCATCTCGATCAACCAGCTCAAGATACTGACCCATCTTCTTGCTGTAGACGGTGTGTCATCGTCCAAGCGATCGCTGGGCCTTGGTGCTCAGGAGAAGTGGTGCATCGCTTCCTCCAAGCTCTAACTGGAATCTTCCTGAGTCCAACAACTTGCACATTTCCTCCAACTCCTCGCACTCGTCCTTGATGAGGGAGAAGCTCATAGCTCTGACCCGTCAGCTTCATATAGTTCTTCATCCAGCCGGCACCGTGACACGTGTTGTTGCATCCCGTGTCCAGAATGCAAAGCAGTTGATCTTCACATTGAGTGCCACTGAAAGCCATCATGGCCAACGACTGCCGGGTGTTGAGGTACTTGCCAAACTCCAGGAGCTGAGGATTCTTGAGGTTCTTTCCCTTCATCTGTCCAAGGATGTAGGTGCAGTAGGAGTGTTCCGTCTCAGCGATCATCCTGAATGTCTTGCCTTTCTGCTGACCATGGTTCATGATCTCAGCATCCCAAGCTGCCACATCTTCAGGCAGTACTTCTCGAGGTCCAAGTGTTGGATCACCTGGTGTTGAGGGTGCCGAACTTGCTGAACCCCTTGTTGGAGTGTAGAACTCATATCCTGCGCTGGTGCGAGGTGGTGTCGATGGCATAGGCCGTGCAGGCATAGCCCCAGATGGCATGGACTGAGGGACATAGATTGTGTCCTTGCAGCGCTGGTAGATCACGTCCAAGGTGTCACCTGTGATCACGGCTCCAGTCTGTCGCTGGATGCTCAGCGTCAGCTGCATCAGTTCGATGACCTTGGAAGGAGGGTCATCAAGGAACCAGTCCGCCACTGCTCCAACTCGAAGAGGTGCAATCTCTGCTGCTCTTGCTCCACTTTCACCAGGATTCTTCGAGCCTGATGCCGTCTCTCCGCAATCCAAGCAGCGCCACTTCCAGGTCGTTGCAGTGGTGCCCTGATAGTTCTTGCGGGAGTGAGTGCAAGTGCCAGCTTCTTTGGTCTCCATGGCCTTGCCAACAGTCTTCTTCTCGAGGTGAAGGACAAAGCCGCAATCCTTGCACTTGATGACATTCTGGTAGGCATTGGATCCTGCGCGAGTGCGATTTGCATGAGGACAGCTTCTTTGCTTCAGTGTTGGATCCTGCGGAGGCGGCTTCATCATGAAGCGATTCAAACTGTTGGGATCGTCCTCTCTAAGCATCTCTTGCACACGAGCAGCTTGTGATCCAGGAAGTGGAGGCATATCCAGAAATGCTGAGCCCGATGGTGAGGTCATACTCGGTGGTGCTAAGCCCGACTGTGAGGGCATACTCGGCAGGCCTGTCATACTTGAGGGAATCGTCGTACCCACAAGCGATGGCATACTCACAGATGGAGATGCAAGACCAGGCATGGAAGGCAAAGTCCATGATGATATGCTCATCACTGAAGCAGCGTCACCATGGTCCTGAAGGGCGAGTTCATGAGCCTCCCAATCAGCATCATCCGGCACAGGGTGCTGATGTGCCTCTTGCTGAATTGCCAGGGTCTGCTGCTGCTGCATCATGCGTGCTTGTTGAAGGCCATGTCAAGCATCTGATCAGCAGACATCTCATTTGGAGTCGTCACGATGGTGCCATCAGCCAAGCTCGAAGGCGGAGGAACACTGCCATAGTTCGTGACCGCCATATAGGTCTGCGCTTCAAGGTCATAGGGCTCCTCTTGGTCCTCGTCATACTCAGTCACGGAGAAGTAGACCACTCGAGGTTTGTTGCCCTTGCCTTTCTTGCCACCGCTGGAAGCCGTAGTGGTCGTTCCAGTCATAGCCAATGATGAAGACTTGCCACCTTTCTTGCTGCCTGGATGCTTCAGGCATGAGTAGTCCGTGCTCCAGTGGCCAGATTGTCCACAGCGACGGCAGGTGGTTCTCTTCTTGAGATCTTCAAGAGCGCGTCGTCGGTCAGGGGTGCCAGATCAACCTTTTCCTTTCCCCTTGTTCTGGTACCAGTAGTTGGCAGCACTCTTTCCACCAAATCCACTGTGGCCTTGACTCTGGGCCTTGTTGTGCAAGAACATGGCTTCGGCCTCAAGCTGAATCACCTCACAGGCGTAGTCCACGGCTTCACTGTTGTTCACGTCCAAGCCTTCTTCAACCAAAGCGGCATAGGACTCCATTGCATAGTCCACCTCACTGGATGGTGGCTCATAGCCGGGATCAACTTCTTCGGACGCTCCAGTGTAGTAGGAGGCAGGGTCATCATAGTCCTCATAGCCTCCAAGGGACTGCGAAGCATCTTCCCAGTGGTCTTCAGCCAATGCAGCCACATCCTGATAGCTCGGTGGTGACCAGGTGTGAAAGGATTTGGACTTTCCTTTTCCGCTGCGGCTGAACCTGTGATCATGTCGATCTTGTCGATGTCGAAGCTCCTTTTCATGGATGTTGGGATGTTGAGCAATGAGTTCATTGCAGACATCGTTCACCGTCATCTTCCCGGCCAATGCCGTGCGGATCAGGAGCTGGTGGTCACTTGAAATGCCACTTGACATCAAAACCTGTTCCGACAAGATCGCTTCCGGCAGGGCCAACTTGTCATCTAAATCGCAGAGCATCTTGTACCAGGTTCGTCGACGCAAGAGGAACGAGGTCATCGGTTCACCGCTCTGCCGGCTAAGGACTCCATGGGTTTGAGCTCCAGCTGCATAGAGCTCTCGTGCTTCCTGTTGTCGGCGGGGTCTGAAGGCCTGATATAGGTGGCGAAGCAACAGCTCATGACCATCCTTTTCAGCCAACTTGGAGACTTCGACCTCCCGCACAACCTGCAATGCAGCTCCAGTGAGCCCATCGATCAGGCGTAGCCCCAAGGGTCCGTGCTTCTTCAGTTCATTGGGATCCATAGCCTGATCCCGTGCAGCTCGTAGTCGCACCCGGAAGGCATACTCTTGGAGGGTCGAAGGGGTCCCATCATAGCGTGGAACACCTTTGCCCTCGGTGCCAGCGACCAGGGTGGCTTCCGATGCCTCGGAAAACCGGTGCCACTTAAGGCACTCAAGCGCCGACATGAGCTCCGGCGCAGAAGCGTGAAGGTGCCCCCAAAACGAACAAACCAAGGGATTGCCGAATCGTGAGGTCCCTAAGGAGAACACAGCTCCGGTGCCAATCTGAAAATGAATGTGCACCCAACTCAAAACAAACGTGCAAAAGGCTGCGAACGCCTTTTCCGTCATGGCTTGAGCCAAGGGCGTCGTGTCGTGCCCTTGCGAACCGGAACCTGCAGGTTGGAATGAGAGGCCAACTGCATGCTAACTGGAATGACCTGGTTCATCATGATTCATTTCACACTTGCGTGGCTCGTAGGGGGCTCAGGTCGAGGGGTCGGGGTGGAAGAGCTTCAATGGAGCTGTGACCTGTCGGTTGGATCAGAATTTGAGGGATGTTGATGATTGGTCGGGAGGAGGCGAATGGCCTAAACCGGGGCCATGCCATGCCACGTAACCATGGCTGATTTCAGGGAGTGTATGTCGACTGGCCATGCCCGGAGTCCTCGGGAAGACGGTCTTTTGCATTGACGTGTCGCCAGATTGAGATGGATGACACTCGTCGGGAAGAGAGCACATGCCTCAGAACACGGAATCCACCAGCAGAAAAAGCAAAGCAGGAGAAGATTGGGGCTTCAAGAGAGAGACTGAGAGTACCTTTCCGTCCTTTACTGCACTTGCAAGTCGAACGCAAGTGCGGCAGAGCTGTGGGACCTGCGGGTCCAGGTCCAGCAGCTCCCTCCGCGGTGAGACACCGAGGTGCTGTCTTCAAAAAGCAAAAGGCTGACCTCGAGCAGGGACTGGAAGGTGGGATCGACGTCGAGTGAGGGCCACGGACAAGGCCGAAGAGTGGTGTCCTTTTCGCCGGTGATCGGCCGGGTTAGGGTTCCATGGTTCTGCTTGAAACAACCGCGTTTTCCAACTTTAGGGTCAATGATATATTCATGCCATTCAGTCGCACAGTTTCACATACTGATTGGGCAGTTGCAGTGTACTGTTTTGGGCAGCGCATTCAGCAGAGCATAATTTCTTGACGCATCTGAAATCAACGCGCACAAAAGCAAGTCAGAATCCATTCTCTCTCTTTGTGATTGGCAAAGTTCAATTCATAGCTGCTGTGCATTCATGGATCATCATTAACCTCATCAAATCGCACTCAATTGCCATCATGATGTGCCACTGCTTCTACCACTCAGCTTGTCAAAAACAATGTTCTCGTGGCGTCAATTTTTTTTCCTTCTGCAAGTTCCTATATCAAGTCGAAAAAAGGATTTGGCAGGGACTGACTGGTCCTTTTTGGCAGGAACCACCTGGCCCCAGAATCTCCTCACTTCAGCATGTGCTGGCAGAAACAAGCAATGGCTGGAGAAACTCACGCACAAGGTCGAAGAGAAATGGCATAGCCAAGCGGAAAATGGGGGACAATCATGGTCTGTTGGTATCAGGATATGTGTATAGCAAACTTGAGAAAACTATCCAGATCTTCGCAGAAAGCTTGACTCCGCCTGGAAAGCTCTCAGCCGGAAGCCATATAAATCGTATCCTATGTCGATTGCCAGCGTGAACCATGAACCTTTGCAAAACCGTGAAGTCTAAAACACTTGTTCCCCACTGGATCCAACTGGTGGAATTTTCCTGCCCGCTCTGATGCTCAGAGAGGGGTTCTGGTTGCTACACCGGTGCACGAAGTACAGCGTCAGAACAGCATGAGAATCTTAACCTCTGCAGCGTGCGATGTCATCATTTCACTTCGTGACATGCCTCTGCAACCACGTTGTTGCGACTGGTTGGGAATTCGTCCAAAAAGGTGGCTCTTTGTGTTTTGCGCAGCTGAACTTCTTGTTTCCAGAGGTCCAGCCTCAAGTAGTTCATGACCCAATCAGCAATCAGACCCAATCAGACCCAATCAGACCCAATCAGACCACATCAGACCTGCCAGGCTACTTCCCAATTCATTGGCCCCACTTTCTTCGCCCCCAGCAGGCTTCACCACGCTGTGGTGAAACCACGCGGCGCCGACGCTGTTGCCCCCACCACGTCACCCCACGTCACCCCAAGGCGTGCGCTCCGCCCTCACCGTGCTGCGGGACTACTATGCTTCTCGTCCGAAACTCTCGGCATCCGTGCCGGTCCGAAGGCTTGGGCTTTTTGGTGAAAACCACCCCTGGTACGAACGTAGATCCTGGTAGGAAACTAGGTCGTCTATTCATGTCTATTCTGTTCTGTCACGCTTGGTGTGGAAGAAGACACGGTGCCCCCGGTTTTTGGTTGACCGCCATGGGCCATTGTTGGCTCGAGAACCAGGATGGCCGACGGGGGTCTTCGCACCTGGGGTTTGGGTCGGCTTCAGCGAGCCGAAAACAGCTTCAAGTGCTTTCGCGCACTTAGTCACATCAGTCACTGTGAGGAGCTTATTAAAAAGTGAATAAAGCTCTTGTTCCTCTCGTTACTCTTGTTTCCACCTGCCTATTTAGGGGTGTGCCTTCGCATCAAACTTTGTGACTCAAACTGGGCCTAGACGAGAAGTGTGTTGGAATCCACCGCCGCAAGCCACGTGCGGCTCGATCGTCAGTTTCTCGCCCAGGAGTCCTCTGGTACGTGCGGCGGCCCAGGAGTCCTCTGGTCTTGTGACCCTGGGTGACGCCGCGTGCGGTCCTGGTTTTGTGGTAGGTATGTGGGGCTTGTAGAACAAGTGTTTTGACCCTGCCAGGTTGTTTGAAGAAAAAAGACTGCCGGCATTTCGTAACTATTTATGTAATGTAGACTCTTGATTAATACCTCCTCATTTGGATTAGAGTTCCTCTTTATATGGGGCCGGGTTTATTTATACAATCAAGAGTCTACATGAGGTTTCTTTACGCTTCTACTGACTGGCATTGCTAAGGAGCTTGAAGGAGACCAAAGGATGATACCAAACGAGACAACGCGTGTCGTGCAGGGCATTCCTGCAGCAACCTCCCCTTGCTCATGCAAAGCCTGGCCCTTGGACGGAGCTTGACTGGCACTTCAACCAAATTGGCATAGGATATAAAGCAAAAGAGTGGTAAACGCTGGAAATTGCGAGTGATGGCGCCCAGCATTGTCAGTGATCGCAGACGAGTGCGAAAAACTTTGAAAAAACTCATGGCGCCCAGTCGGAGCTTGTGGCGCTGGGCTAGCACATTGGTTCAAACTCTCGTGAAAGCACCCCGTGTCAGTTGACCGCTTTTGACTCCAGCCATGCCAACCAAGATTGGTATCAACGGATTTGGCCGTATTGGCCGCATGGTCTTCCAGGCCATTTGTGATCAGAACCTCCTTGGCACAGAGCTGGATGTGGTCGGCGTCGTGGATATGTCGACCGATGCGGAATACTTTGCGTAGCCCAGCCGAAGCGAAGATTTTGATGACTTGTGCGAACAGTCACGAGTGGAATGGATCGAAACGGACATTACGATCGGCTGATTTCCAAGGGAATACCCTACCATAGGAGTTTTGAGGAGTTTGCTCCAAGAAGTTCAGTCTTCTCAGCCAAAATCGAGTCGTTTTTAAGGTACCAGATGAAGTATGACACTGTGCCAGGGCATTGGATTCAGTGACTTCTGGCCTTGGATTTCGTTTTCCTCGCTTGCCCCGTTTGCACCCTTTTTTTTTGCCCAACAAGTAACAACACCCTCCTCCCTTGACTGCCGAGCATGGCGCATTGGCATTCGAGGTGCATGGGAAGTTCAAGCACGACGTGAAGATTGGCGAGAAGGATGAGCTGATCGTGAACGGCCACAAGATCAAGTGCATTCAAGCCAGCCGCGAGGGCCCAAAAGCTTTGCCATGGAAGGACCGGTTTGTAAGAGACATGCGGACGGTTTTTGCATCCGACTCAACGGGTTACATTTAACACGGAACATGCAAAAGGGCTCTTATGACAACTGGCTGGATATCGTACATTCGTTTGATGAAGGTCGCGGGGTTCTGCAGTGGAAGAGGAAGTCATTATTCCCTTTTCAAGCTTCTCGGAGATGTAGAACACCAAATTGTTGGGCCTTATCAATGCTGTCCGCTTCCTCTCTTGCTGCCAGGACATGGGCGTGGAGTATGTGATCGAAAGCACAGGTGCCCTGTAAATCAAACCATTGGTTGACCGGTCGAGGCTTTTCCCTCTTATTCTCTCCAGCCGAAGGGTCAGGCATTAGCCGGGCTCATCAAAACTGCCAAGAACACCCTCCGCGGATTGACCCCTCTCTTCGCGCGCGGGAGACAGAGACCCGCGACAGGTCTCTTCGTCGAGGCGGACAAGGCCAAGGGGCACATCGAAGCGGGCGCCAAGAAGGTCATCATCTCTGCCCCAGGTCGCGGACCCGACGCGCGTGAACGACGCGTTCGGATGGACTAAGATGATTGGGGATTAAGGACCACGCGTCACGCGTTGAAGTCAGGCCATAAGGCTCTCCATTTTGTCATTATACAACCAGCACCTCAAGGATTCACGCAAAACGCAAAGGGACTCAGTTTGGGTTTAGTGCATGGATTCGTTCACCCAGGCAAGGGCGAGTTGAAGACCTTGGTGTGCGGCGTGAACCACACCGAGTACAACAAGGCCAGCCACGACGTGGTGTCCAACGCCTCCTGCACCACCAATTGCCTCGCTCCTGTGGTCCACGTGCTTTTGAAGGAGGGCATTGGCATCGAGAAGGGCTCCCTGGCCGGTACGATTGGTGGAATAAAGACACCGGCAGCTGGTAAGCATGGGACATCTTATTCGGGCATATATAATAGCAGGCTTGGGTGTGACTTAGAAGAGAAAAGGTTCTGTTGCAACATTTTGGCTCAAGGTGAGCCAAAAACTGGCATCAGATCTTGAAAGGAGTTGACCCTTTGATCTGACTAGGAGTTGACCTAGCTTGTTTGGGCGGAGTTGACCCCTACAGATCCATTCACCTATAAGGCGCTATTGAGACGCCCCTTCTGTCTACCCAGCCTGGCTTGAAAATCCCGCTCCCACGTCCTGTCCGTTGTTGGAGGCTGGGCGCCGGGATGAAGCCCCGAATCTTTGGGAGTCCGTGGAGATTCACCACCAACCCCATCTTCCTCCACCGCATGATTCATCGATGACCTGCTGCTATTCGTCGCATCCCGCGCCTCACCAGGGAATGTGATTGGTGTCGCAGGACCCGCAGAGGCCTCTGGCCTCCTCAGTTTTTCGTTGGAAGGCTTGGCCCGCCTACCGTTCTTGTGTTTTGTGGTGAGATGGTTGTTGTATTGGTGGAGTCGAGCTGGGGCTTGGATTGTGAGGATGTTACGCCAGACTTATTTTGCTCCCGACAGACAGAGAGGCAGCACCTCTTTGATTGCTTCGGCAGCATCACCTTTCGAAACTTTCTTCTGCGTGCTTGGCATACCATTGAGTTGTGTTGTTTCTCTTGGCAAGCGGCCTGTTTGCCCCCAGAAAGCTGGATACATGCTTTGGGGTTTAAGTTTAAGTGTGAAGAAAGCGGCGGAACAATTTGATTGGCGTGTTCTGAGCCATGGCCGAATGTTTTCTACCTTTTCAGCGGAAAGCCCGGCTTTTGCTTGCGGATCAACTGCGGAGATGTTGGCGAACTTGAGCCTGAATCAAGTGTCAAGTGCTCTGTCACACATTCGTGGGTGGATGACTTCATGTCCGTGCATCGTTTTCCGCAGGCTGCGTGTTCTGGTCGTGTTAGTTGCGTGTTCTTCAACAATAACATTGGGGTAGGTGTTCTTAGCAACGCAGCTGGTGGGTGCAGGTCCTGGTGGCTGTGGTGAACTGGTGGCGGGCTGCAGGCTGCAGGAATGTGTTCTTTTTCCGGTCGATCAGAGCTCCTTGCCTGTTTGAGAATGCCTTGCAGAGAACCATTGCATCTGCAAAAAGCATATTTGCACAGCTGGTACTCAAGGCTAGAGTCGGTTTTTTTCAGGGAAGTGCAGTTGAGGCGGTGCGACCATCAAGCAGTCGCTTCATGGTGCACCCAATGGTTCTCCCAAAAGGGACCTTCGTTGTTTTGTTGGGGTTCGTTGGTGTGACATGTGGGGGTTTCCTTAGAGCTCAGCCATATGTCCGGACTGTGGAACGAAGGGACGGATACCCTAAGCCCGGGGCCGGGGTCAAGTAGTATTGCAGTGCATCATAGGTCCCAAGCAGGTGACTTGGTGGGGAATGCGGGAGCTGCAAGTCTGCAAGGGTAGAGTGGTGCATGCTTTCCAGCACTCAAGGTGTTGCATGCTTTCTTGCCGGGTGAACATCTCTCATCCCAGCTGTTGATCGCAACAAAGATCGGGTCAGTCCGACTTGCTTCTCACAGGTTTCGCGGGTAATTGCCGGATCAGATTCAACTTCGCCGGATCAGCGTCTGGGATCAGATTCTAATTGGCCGGATCAGCGTCGTAGGATCAGATTCTAGCGGGACGGTCGGGATGGTCGGGACGGTCGGGATGGTCGGGACGGTCGGTGCACAACCAGTTATAACGACAGTAGGAATAGTTTTTATTCGACTTCGCCGAATCAGCGTTAGTTAGGGATCAGCGTCGACAAGACGCTTGGTCCGGATGGTCGGGACGGTCGGGATGGTCGGGACGGTCGGTGCGCAACCAGTTATAACGACAGTAGGAATAGTTCCCCATCTGCCAGGTGAGGGTTGTTAGATTTTATGTTAGCTGACTTCTTCTTCTCCTCCTCGCCGGACCTCAACCACGACCATCCACGCCCAGTGTTCCCTGCCGGAC